CCTCATTTAAGTTAACAAAGAAGCCCCAGTTTCACACAGCCAAACCAAACAGGAATTGGCCAGAGGCCCTGTTTTTCAGGAGCAATTGGCTTTAACATCACTAGCCTATAAGCTGCAAAAACATTTGGAAAAACAAAAAAGTAAAACCAGAAAACAAACAAATAAATAAAACTTTGAATTCCTCCAAAGATAATGTTAAACTATGAAGGGAAAAAGTTGCCTCCAGGTTATCAAAACTCCTAAGCATTTAACTCCACAAGATTTTCAACACAGACAACTCTCTTGACAGAGAGGAACACAACAGACCCATTCAAGGTCCGTTCAACCTTAACACCCATGCAGTCCACCACAGCTTTCCTGGGCTCCAACTTAAGAGCAGAGTTCAGGTTTTAAAAGCTACCAAGGGAAATTTAAAAATCTATCCAGGTAGGACCTCATCCCTCCACTAACTTAGAGAGCTTTTGCTCGTGTTGCAAGAGTCACTTAGGTGCTCTTAGGCTTCAAACACCTAGTATCTACACAAATACCTGGCAAAAAAAATCAGAGTACATTATTCTGTATTTTCCCCTACTCTCTGACTTTTCCAATGCCAGGGTGGTTGTCAGGGGCATCACAATCTAGCCCTAGCTCCTTGGTATGTACTATCCAGACATGTCATTACCATTGCGATGTTGTCTTACTTTTCTCTGAACCAAGGGCTAGAATTCCAAAAGGCTCACTGAAAACGAACAGCCCTCTCTCAGTGGGGAATATTCATAATTATGATTACTAAGGGCTTAATTCACTTTGTCCTAATAACATTAATATTCTTCTAATCTATTTTATTCTGTTTTTTATTCTAGCAATAGAATAATATTCAGATAAAGGAACATATTAATAACTATGAAGAGAGGTGGTGATTCATGCCAGTCATTCTGTATTCACATGCTCAAGGGAAAGCCTGACAGAGATGGCTGCCATCTAGTCCTGTGGGTATCTCCGTATCTGCCAGTATACCTGCTCACTGAACTAAGGGCTGCAGGGTGAGATGACTTAACGGCTCAAACATTCACTCATTATTTAAACCTAACCTGCTTCTCCTGAGTTGTACTGGTAAAGGGTGACCATCACCCAGCTGCTCCAGTCATACTCACTTCCTCTCTGTCATTATCCAATTGTCACTGAGTCCTATGAATGTGTCCCTCACTTATCTGTCCCCTACTCTTCACTGCTGCTTCTACTGTCTTAGTTCAGGCCTTCTACATCTCTCACCCAGAAATTAAAATAGCTGTTAACAAGTTTCCTAGTTTCTAGGTTAGCCCTGGTGCACTTGCCTATACTGCCTGTCAAGCTACCTTCCAAAATATGCACCATGTAATCAGTGAAATCACACTCAAGTGTAGAAAACACTGGTGAATACCACTAGAATCTTCGAGAATAAGAAGTAACTTTAAGCATCACATCAATCCTAGAAGGCATAACTATGGTTACTGAAAAAAAATCTTTAAGACAAAGAATACTATAATCAAAGATTAAAAACAATGGGGAAAATATCTGCAACATACCTGGAGTGGAATGGTAATTTTTGTAATATACGAGAGGTTCTCAGAACTCATTAAGAAAAAACGTATTTAAATTTGAAATAACATCCTAAGTCCATCTATGAATAATTATAATGCTACAAGGAAGGCACGAAGTTTCCTGTGAAGGCTGGGTGTGGGAAAAGTGGTTAGACATCACAGTCACCAAAGCCTGCTTCAAGTGCACTGTGTGGATTCAATTATGTCACACATAACAGGGGGATATCTCTAAGCAGTTGGTCTCTCTTGTTATGCCTCTGAAACACAGTGAAGCCAGTTTACCCAGAACAAACCATTGCCTGTACAGCTGGAAGGGTCGAGTTGCCTTATCCTTGATGTTCCAGATTTGAGCCGAAAGAGTAAAGTCTTCAAGAATGTGTCTGAGCTCACCCAGCTCCAAACCCTACTTACTGTTCCATCACACCAGCCTGTGCCAGAAGATCAAACAGATGCTCATCAGGTGAAATGGACAGCTTTTTATGTTTGACCTGAACCAAGTAATCAGCCTGAACCCCACCAAGAAGGCAGGGTCAGCAGAGTGCCTAAAGCCAGCACTGCTGACACACCTTACTCTACCCTTTGGCATACAGTTCTCCAAAAGGTGACAAAATCCTGCATGCAAATCCCACAGATGTCACCTTTCAAGTGAAAGCTCTGATGAGATGGTAAATCTATCACACCCATAAGAAAGGATGAATTCTGTGAGAAAAGCAAGTAATTCAAAGTGTCCATACAGATTTTCATGTGAACTTGGAGGACAGACCAATCACCTACTATAAGACTACAAAGGAATATGAGGCCAAATCCCTCTATACTGTTAATGTCTACTTGTCAAAAGTAGAATGTAAAAAATAAAGTTTGGGCTAAAAACTGGAATGTAATCATGAGTAAGTCTGTGGGAAACAAAGGAAGTTAAACCCAACCAAATGGAATTAAAACTCAGAATATTTAACCAATTACTTCCCAGCCTTTAAAATGCAGAGCCACATTGACAGCCCACATATCAGAACAGTATCACAGGACAGCTGGATGGCACTGAGTACATCACTTTTTGTTTTTGTTGTTGTTGTTGTTGTTTTTCCTGTAGTTTGTGAGCACATATTCATAATGCTGTTGAGTTATGATACAGCTATGAATTCAGTTTCTGAAACAGCATTAAAAAATGCAACTGAATTTTTAAATCTTTGGCTTGTGCAATGAATTTGCCAAAATTCAATCCCTGACCAATCATCTGTCAAAGTCCCTCTGATTCTATCATTTTCCTCTGGCAATATTAATAAAATATTCTCCCAATAAATCTAGAGGCTTACAAAGCCCTTGTTCATTTTTCTGGCTGAAATGGGTTCAGTGGCTTCTGGAAATAAACCCCAGGTATGGAGACACACAGTGTGATCATTCAGAGGGATTAACATGCTGGCAAGTGGCAGCCAATCTAGTACTCCTCAACCTGTCCAGAGAACCAAACCTCCTCCCTTTCCTAGAGAAAAAGGGTTGTGATCTATTTGAAGTAGTGAATGCCAGGAAAGACTGTAGTGTTGCTATTCCTTGGAAGGGATTATACAGAGAGGAACTGAGGTCAGAAGAACAGAATAAACATCTCTGAACTAATATAAGTCAATCTCAGCTTTGTCTTGAGCAGACGTAGGAGGGCTTCATCTGGGCCCAATGTGTGGCAGGCTAAGAAAAAGCACACGGTTATAAAACATACTTAAAAGTATTATAATTCTTTCCTCAGGCCTCCAGTTTTTTTAAAATACCAACTGTGGGATAAATAAACACAAAGACTGACTTACTCTGGGAAGCATAATGCCCCTCGGTAGCTTTGTCTTCATGTCCTTCATACTCCCTGCTAGACAGCTGCCTGTTGGCTGTCTCCAGTCGATCTACAAACAACAAGGACATGGTTAAAAAAATGCATATGGATTTAAGTGATCATCCAATGGAGAAATGAAATGGGTACCAGAAGCTGGATATGAAGAGATGCTCAGGCAAGGGCCCCAAACTGAGCAATTCTTGGGGAAGAACAAAATAACAAAAGAAAAGTCTTCAGATGCCATCCTATATCTTCACTCAGTCAAACTGCAAAGACAATGCACCAGCAGTGTGAGCTAGGGGCAGGCTGGGGAAAAAAAACACTTCACAGCCTCTGAGATGAAGTCCTCCCAAGCAGGCTTAGTCTTCATAACTTCAAATCCAGACCTAGTCCAGCCTTGACCATCAGCCCTATATTTTATCCAGAAACTACTTATCTGAATCTTAGAACTATAAAATAAATAAAAGCAACAAATACCAAGAGAAACTAAAACAGCCCAATGAATGAAGATTGTATATAGCAAGTTTCGTTTGCCCAAACCATTTGGTATATCTTAATTTATCCAACTAAATAATCCAGCCTGGTAAGTATTTATTGGATATATCTGATATCCCACACAAAAGGTTTATAGTATCTCAAAAAGTAGGCTCTAGCTACTGGTGACAACCAGCGCATTGAGTTGTCAACTGAAAAATTCAGTTGAGTTGACACAACTGAAAAATGGCTTGGCTGACTGAACATGAGGCAAAATTTTATGGGTTAAATCACCGCGCTTGTTGGAGGTTGCCAAGACCCTGCAGCAGGTAGATAATTTCCTTCAGGGAGGACATATGTTTACACTCTTCACAACTGTGGCCCTCCCCCGCCCTGCAGGAGGAACATATGTCTAGTTCTGTCTTTCTATTATACCTAGTAAGTGAGGCGCTGGCTTGCAAAGAACACTTCCCAAAGACTCAGCCTGATGTGGAAAGGGCTGTGCTTCCCACATTGGTCTTTTTAAACATTCCTATTCACGCAGTCATGAGTCACCACTGAGTAAAAGCAAAGTGGAGCTGCACACAGACTCCCTCCTTCCACAGCCTCAGGCAGGCAGGTTCACTTCCAAAATTCCATGCTGCAACCTACAACCCACGAGGAAGAAAAGAATGATTCTACTCTTTGAGCACTTTTCCCTTCCCAGAAGGTTGGAATTTACAAGATCATCTAATGAAAGAACAGCAATCTGGCCCCAAATGAGGCTGTTGACTGCACAGGTAGTTTAGGGTGGAGAGATCATAAGGAGAGGGTGACATGCCTCGGAGGTCTCTGTTGAAATCGTGAAGTCTTCTGATCTCGCCTTCCAGTTTATTTCTCATGGCCTTGTCCAACGACTCTCGCTTGGTAGTGGACTTCACCAGACTCTCATAGGCTTCTGAAATTCTCTGGAGTTCTTTTTCAAACTGTAAGAAAGAACTGGCATTAAAGTGACATTCATGCTGGTGTCTTAGTAATAATGGTTCTATCACACTCGAGTGTGAGGCTGTGTCTTCCTTCAGGGCAGCCTTTCTGCATCTCAAGTTTCATGTCTACCAAACTTTGGAATCCATTTTGCTCCCCACCTGCCTTCCAAAGGCAACATCACTATTCCAAGGGCAATATCAGACCATGTGATGTCACCTTGTAAAAGTTCCACTAGATCAATATTAGGAAGAGATGAATTTAACCATAACATAAGCCTCTTACACTTGATATGCCATTTTTATATCTATGATCATTATTTCCACTTCATATAAGGAAAATATTAAAGCACAGAAGAACTAAAGCACTATAACCAAGACCCAAACTTTCAGACTTTAAGCACAGTGCTCTTTCCAGAGACCCTCCTACCTGCCTGTACTCTAGGAGAGGCTTCATTAATGAGCATATTCATCCCTTACTTATGTAAACATCTACATAAATGACCAATGGACTTGTGTTTAAGTACAAACAAGTGTACTGCAGAAAACCTTTTTTATATGCAGGAAATGAGAAATATAGGATTAGAAATTTTCTTATTTCATGAAATTGAGGATAACTGGAGAAGTCTTTATTCTATGGCATCTGGAAATCTCTAACAAGTAGCTAATGACTATTACAGGAGTCTAATGTAACAGTGATTTTGAAGTGGATCTCAATAAATTCCATTTTGCTGCTGTGTAACAAACACGGGAATGTTTTCTCTGATAATGTGGATGCTAATTCACATTACGGGTGGATAAGGAAGAATAGAGTTACTTTGGATTAGGGAGAAGGGAGTGAAGGGAGACAAGGGAGTTTGGGGTAGGAAGGATAGTAGAATGAATCGGACATTATTACCCTGTGTACATATATGACTACATGACCGGTGTGATTCTACATCATGTACAACCAGAGAATGAAAAACTATAATCCATTTATGTATGATGTGTCAAAGTGCATTCTATTGCCATGTATAACTAATTAGAACAAATTTAAAAAACAAATTAAACAAAAAAAAAAAGTAAAGGCTGGGTGAGAGGGCCTGCAAACTCTGATAAGACCACACTACCCTTCTTATAACCCAGTCCTCCCCAATCCTTCCCACCTGATAATTCTCCTTTGCTGTAACTTCAGGTTCTTCCTTTGACCCTAGTTTCTGCTTCTTCCACATGCTCTTGTCCCGGGACTGTCATGTCAAAGCTATGTGCTTATTTTCATGGCTCGTGTCTAATTTTTTGCCTAGAGGTCAGACTGACTGCCGCTGAGGCTAAGCTGATGGTATGAGAGCAATAGCACTCCTCCCTGGACACTAGGGGACCAAAGGCATGTTGTGAGTCCCTTTATAGGAAAGAAATGTCACTGAGAGCTAGGCACGCTTTTTTTTTTTTTTTTTTTTTTTTTGGAATACTAACTACCCAGATAAGAAAATCCATGATAAGACTTCTGTAAATAATACAAGTCCTAACAGATATTCATAATTTGCTTACAGCATGCAGACACTCTCCTGGGTACAGGGATACAGAAGTAAGATAATCCCCAGCCTTTAGGCGCTCACAGACTATGTGGAGTGTACCCAGACACAGGCACTTCTACAATGCAAGGTGATAAGGGCTATGACAGTGAAGTGCCATGACAGCCGAAAGATAAAGTCATTAATTTTGCAAGGGTGAGACAGAAAATGTCATTTAGAGAAAATGTCATCTAAAATGAGTCTTGAAGGACAAACAGGAGTTTGCCAGGCAAAAAAGAAAATCCAGAGGGCTTTCACATTCTAGGCAAGAAATTGGACACAGACCAAGAAACATTGCCATGAAAGGAAGCACATGGCTTTGACATGACAGTCCCAGGACAAGAGCAGGGTGAGAGAGGCAGGAACTAGGGTCAAAGGAAGAACCTGAAGTTACAGCAAAGAAGAATTATCAGATGGGAGGAACTGGGGAGGGGCAGGTTGTAAGAAGTGTGGCGTGGTCTTACCAGAGTTTTATAGAGATAACTATAGGATGGAGCTGGAGTGTGGAGGTGGGAGTAGGAAGCGGGAGAAAAGAAGTCCAGGTGAGAGGCTAAGGTAAATAGATGAGTGACAGGTGACAAGGGCATGAGCCAGGATAACTAAAAGGAAAAATTCTAAGGATACTAAACAGCAGAGTCCACAGGTCTTGGTGTCTGGGTCTACCTCATAAGGCAGAAATCAAAGACAACATAGAAATTCACAGCTTAGAAGATGGGGAAATACGACAACTAAGATAAATGATGATAAGAAAAAACAGGTTTACCAAAGGGGGGGGGGGAAACAGTTTGGCTTTGAAATGGTGAGGACTCTGTAGAACACCAAAGCTTTCCAGTTAGGAGGTGGAAATACACGTCTGAAAGTCAGGAGGACAGCTGTGGTGGCATCAGCCAACAGATGACAGACGGTGACAGAATGAAGGCCACTTATGGAGTCAACAGAAGCCGAGAGAACCCATGGGGAGCGTTCACACTGAGGGATGGCTGGAGCAAAAGGAGAGAGACTGAAGTCATTGGCTCCATAGGTGCCAGAAGCCAAAGACTTCAGAAGGAGCAAAATCATGGTCAGTGTCCCCACAGGTTACACACAACCAAGCAGGGACCCTCTGGGAAGAGGTCATTGAAGAGGCTGCACAGCGTGGAGCTTTGGCTTAGAGGCAGCCAAAAGAGGTGGAGCCAAGACACCAAGGCTCCTTTTGGTACCATTTTATTGTCCCTGAGCCCTCCCTATGCCAGAGTTGGCCATTCCACTGTCCCTTAACTTCCACAAGGTCTTCCTGTTTCTTCCAGTGATATCATGAATTATCAGCAATGTGGTGGCACGGAGAATACCACGTCCTAAATCCTGTTCACAGTGCTACTGCAAGTGACGCTCCTTCCTTTTAATTTTGTTTGCAAAAGACACAGCTCCAAAACACTTTGCTATTTCTAGGCTAATTTTCTCTATAATGGGGGCTTTTATTTTTGGCGAGATGGGCATGCCCATGCTGCAGGAACAGTGCCCTTAAAGACCACAGGGCAATACCTAGTCACTAAGAGGTGTGAAAGTGCCAAAGCCCTGAGGTGCTACCATCAAAGAGCTGCTCAACCTGCAAGCCAAAGACAGTCGGGACAGTCTCCTGACCTGTGCCACCCTAGGAATCTGCTGCAGTCTGAGTTCACTGGACTGTTACCTGCTGTACATAACTCATTGTGTTTCCAATTTGACTGTTAACTCTTCGAGGGCAGAAATAGCTCTTACCATCCCAGAACTGTCCTCTGCCCATGGCCGCAACTGGGATTAATTAATCTTCAATCAACTTGGTGTATAAACTACACCTGACCATGGATTTTTTACTTTTACTAAGAAACTTCCCTCTGCACATTGTAAGACGAAACTTCAGGAGCCTTCTACAGCATAGTTTACCACCTCAAAGGCTAACAATCAAGAATCAACACATAGCTATGTGCTCTAGGTACTCAGACAAAAAGGGCAAGGACCTTAGTTCAGGACAATTATTTCCTGTGAGAAATGATAGCTGTAGTGGTGGACAAGTAGTCCCTTGCAGTGTGGTTGTAGAGATCAGAGTTACAATTAAATATGGGGAAGTTGAAGAGATGCAGACTTTGATCCAACACAAGGAAGAGTTTCCTAATTACATTTTCCAGAAGTATAGTTCACCCAGTAGTGAGTTCTCCCTTTTTTGCAATTATACTCGTAAAAAAGAAAAGGCCTCCTTTTAGGGACATGAAGCAAGGATTCCTAAGGGAAAGTCAGACTGGATTCATTTTAAGAATCTTATATCTAAAGCTCTTTTCTTTGTGACTGTACACTCCTTCAGAGTAAAAACCTTCTTCAGACCCTCCATGTCCAGAACATCTTAAACCCCCCTGACATTTATGAAGATGAGGAGAAGACTGGACAGCTGGTTCTGATATAAACCACCAGGGTTGTTTAGGTTCTGGGTCTGGTGCACAGAGGGAAGGTCAAGTTGGCCTTCACAGCTGCTATCCTCGGCGCAGCCGGAGAGCCCTGAGGCTGGGCAAGAGAGAAGCACTCGGTGTCCCAGAAACAGAGCTACAAAGCAGAGTGAGAAGCCCTGACAGCGTCCAAAGGTACTGTTGTCATCACGAAAACCAACAGAGGACCCTGAGAAAATCTCAGCCATTCTAAGCTCCAGGTGTATGCTTTTCCCCTGAGAACCGTCAGGGATGCCTAGGCCCAAAGAAATGCTGTTGTTCAAGCCATAGACTTGCACCATCAAAGCCTCCGTGGTTTCCCTCCCAAAAGAAGAGTGTCTTCACTAGTGCAACCCTGGGATGACCAAAAATGCTCATTCCTTCCCCTCCTGATGTCCATCTATCCCCTGATAGTTTCTGAAGCCAATCACTCAACAGCCCACAGCCTGGTCCTCCTGGAAACTCTGTCCATTAATGAAGCTTCAGAGAAACAGGGAGGAAAGAGAAGCAAAAAGAGTCACCAAAAGGGAAAACAAAAACAACAGCTCTTTCTGGGAGCCCCTGACCATCTTTCCAACATTAACAGTGATAACTACTACCTTGTGCCTCTTTGGAAACAGAGCCTTCGTGACGAGGCCGGGCTCTGGCAGCCTCTGAATTTAATCATTCTTCTCGGCCATGTTCCTTGGCACAAAATGCATATGCTAAGCTCTGAAAATTAAAAATTCATCTATTTTTGGTTTTGCTCTTAAAATGAATCTCTGTGAGGGCCAAAGTGTTCCCAATGCTATGAGGGTCTCAGATGGAATGATACTGTGGGCATAGCATGGCAACATCCTACATCCTGGCAGGCCCACGGAAAAAAGTAGGCATCACATTCATGCCAAGAAACTAGCAGCTATCAACACTGAGAAGCGGAGTTGTTGCCTCGGCCCACCATCCTCTGCCCAGACCTAAAACTTAAGCAGATGCTGAGAACACTGAGCATTGAGGACAATGGTGAGGAAAACTCCGAACAAGGATGGCCTATGGGACACATGGCAGAAAATGTCACAACACCAAGCTCACAGAGCCCTCCTGGGTCTCAGTCCCATCTTTGAGAACAACTGTAGAACTAGTGAGGAGTACGCCAAGGATCTCAGGAGACCTGAGGTTTTAAATTGACAATTCTAGCTTGACAGATGACAGATCAATAAAATTGTGGTATTCATGGAGCCATTTATAATATTCTAGGGAATGAAAGAGTTTGGGGTTCCAGAAGGAAAATAGCTTTTAACTTGTCTCCCTTTTCAGAAGCCATCTGAATCCTTTTGGCCACAAATTCTAAGCATCTTTCTCTGTGCAAGGAAATTGGTGCACTGGGAGATTAAGTGATTTTATTTTTCAAAAAAAAAAAAATTGCAACAAAATCAGAAACAGATGTATGTTATTGGCTAACAAAAAACCCTCTATATATTAATTTTTTAAAAAAGTCACTGATCTTTCTATACTGCACTGTCCATGGAGCTCTTCCACAAAATCCATGTGAAGAGTCCCAGCACCAACCTGTCTTCAGGGGGTCTGCGGTGCTCTTGGACACATCTACCACAGAGCTTCATTAGGGAAGAATAAGGAAAAATGTGTTTCCCAAAAGTGCTGAGTGGGCCTTTCCCAGTTTTCAGGCCATACCAAGAAGCTGCCCTGGGAGTAGTCAGAGGCAAGCTGGGGCCTGAGCAGCAGCTTACAGGCAAACAGCCAGGAGACAACACACTGGTTTCCCAACTTCTAAGGGTTCAAGAGGAGGTGGGAGTGGGGCCACGATCTTCATGCAGCACTGTTTGTTTGTGGCTCTCATCTTCCCTCTGATAAAGGCAGCCAGAGCTCCCTGAGCCAAGTCTGGTCTTGATTCTGGGAGCTCCAGACCCTTTCAGAGGAAATTCCACACCAACATGCTGGGGCAGATTGTAGGCGATCACTTGCACTATTCAATCCTCTGCTCCCAGCTTTTTACTGCCAGCCATTGGAAAATAAGAAAGGCCTACAAACCAAAACCCTGACTACCAAAAGATCAGCCTTACCTGTGAAATCAATAATGAACACTAATTGATCTAGCCATGATTTTTATTAATTGTCATATGGAGTCAAAGGGACAATCTTGGAGTCAGGTGGAATTTACTTTCCTACCCTAGCTCCTTACAGAAGTGCCTTATTCCAGCGACAGGGACAGGGACAGGCATTTACACTCATTAGATCCCTGCTGCCACACATACTTCTTGGGTCCAAAAAAGAAATTTGAGCATGCTGTGGCTCTCCTGCACTAAAACACCCCATTACCTTTGCCTCTCTTTTCTCTTCCATACTTCCTGCAGTACATGTGGGTCACCAAGAAATCAAAGACTTGTAACAGTTTGCTCTTGCTGGATGATGTTCTAATTTCTTTGGCTCTTAGCATAATGCTCTAAGGATGAAGGCTGTCTCGCATTCTAATATCGCCATGATGTCTACACAGGCTGGAATTACTCGGCATTTTCCCACCTGATCAGTGGTGAGCACAAGGAAAGCACACAACAACCCCTACTCTTGCTCTTCCAGCGTCCAGGCGATGTTGCTTTTTGTATTAGACTGCTGATGAGACAGACAAAGCAATCTCAAGGTTCCTGAGATTCCCACATATAAAGGAAAATTGATGTCTCTCAATTCATTCTTATGTTACTGTCCATCTGAGGAAATCCTACTTAGCCTCTGAGGCCTCGACCACCTGAGCTGCACCTCTCCTGCAGGCATTAGGTTTCCCAATTCTCTCACCCCTATATTACCGTAAGCTCCTCCAAGAAAGGCACTGGGTCATATTTATTTTTGTCTCCCTAAAGCTTTGCATAATGCCTGGCATAAAAAGGGGCCTCATGAAACACTGGCAAGTGAGTCAGCCAATCAACACTCAGGAACAGGTAGAGGATCCTGTTCCCTCCAGAGAAGCTTCTCTGTCCCCTTGCCTTGGGATGTCACATACCTTGTGGAGCTTGTCGGCATTGTCGTAGTAACCCTGAAGCTCCTGGTGAAGCACTCGGTTCTCTTCAGTTAGTATCTCCACCATTTGCTGGGCGCGCTCCACAATCGCAAACGCATCTGGACCAAGTTGCTGGCTGGGGGAGGCGGAAGGCGGGGGCTGTGGAGCCGCCAAGGTCATCGGAAGTGGAAGTGGCAAGGAGACAGAGTGCAGTGGCCCACTGACGGAGGAGGTCTGAGAGGACATGGGGCTGTGCTGCTGCACGGTCGACGGGAACGGAAGTTGGCATGGGCGGCTGCAAGGGAACAGAAGACCAGCAATCAGACCCCAGGGGAAGTGGTGGGAGTAGGAAGGAAGCCCCACCAGTATATGTATCGTCATGGCTTCCACTGTCAAAGGTCACCAATGCACTTCCCAGTGCTCAACTGAGCAACAAGCTCCACCACTTATCCTGCAGATATTATTTGCTGTGTTCCCTCTGAATCAGCACTGTGCTGGCTGCTGGGGATCCAGTGAACAAGACAGACGGGGTTCCTGCTCTCAGAAGCTTACCTTCTAGGAGAATAACACAGGCACAGGTGAGCCATCAAACTGCAGAACAAAGCTGAGAATCAGAAAGTAAAATGGTTCATCAAAGAATAGAGAAGTTAGGGACAGGGCACAGCTCAGTGGTACAGTGCTTGCCTGGTGTTGACAAGATCCTGGGTACAATGCCCAGCACTGTAAATAAGTAAGTAAATAAATAGTGTGAAATACAGAAGTTTGAGCTCAAGTCTGAATGGCAAATCAGAAGGTACCATGGTTTGGGTGGGAGAGGTAAAGAAGTGGGAGAAAGAGATGTCAGGTAAGAGGATCAGCTAGTACCCAGGGTCTATGGCAAGAATCAGCACTGGCAAGAGCAAGTGGAAGAAAGCCTGGTGGTGTAAAGCACAGCCAGCGAGCAACACTGCAAGACAGGACGAGAGACAGGGGCAGGGGCCTTCGTGAGACAAGGCCCCAGACTTCCCCTCAGAGGGTACAGAGGCCAGTGGGGGACCTGCCCTTGCCAGGAGTGGTGTGCGCAGAATGTATTGCACAGTGGCAAGAGACCCATGGAGTCCAAAGAAGAGGCCCAGGTGTGGCCTAGGTGAGTACGATGAGAACTCACAGAGTCAAAGCAAGAAGAGAAACAATTGAGAGACTTGGGGTTCATTTATATATATATATATATCAAGGTGGGGAGAAAGAAAGTGAGGGAAATAAAAATTATTCCTCAATTTTGGGTTCTGTGCAAATGAATAGGGCTACAATTTGATGAAATGGGAAAGTCCGGTAGAGGGACTGATTTGATTTTTGTTTTGAGGAGGTCTGGAGGTCAAGTCCAGTTTAGTCATGTTAGAAAGAACTCATGAGGTGTCTCTTAAAGGCTCAAATTCCTGGTATTAGCACTTACATCTGACACAACGGATGTCTATCTCCTGTCTCCACTCCCTAACAATTCCTTCCCCATTATTCTGTTAACCTGCATTTTCTTTCAATCTAAGCCCAGGGCCTTCAAAGACAACTTTTTTGTTTGTTTGTTTGTTACTGGGGATAGAACCCAGGGGTGCTTAACCACTGAGCCATATCCCTAGCCCTTTTTATTTTTTATTTAGAGATAGGATCTTCCTAAGTTGCTTAGGGCCTCAATAGGTTACTGATGCTGGCTTTGAGCTCATGATCCTCCTGTCTCAGCCTCCTGAGTCACTGGGATTATAAGTGTACACCACTATGCCCAGACAAAGACAATTTTTATAGGCACAGGCATAAACAGAAAACAGTCTTAAAGTCTAGTTCTCCAACCACAGCTGCCTCTCTTTTGTTCAGACAGGAAAACTGGTTTTCTTGTGAACCTCCATCTGGGAACTGGAGATGAAGTATAAGTAAGAATTAGCAGCAACACAAACACCCATCAGTATTGTGTCAAAGAGCAGAGTCCTCTGGAGATCCAGCTACTTCTAATCAGTGACAGTTACCTGTGTCACCCTCCATAACTGGTGGCCATCTATAACCAAAGCTCCCAGAACTACCCCAGTTTTTCCCAGCAGGTCACCTGGCCTTGTATTTTCCTTTTACATGTATTTGTTGGAGTGTTTTTGGCCCCTGCCAGCCTCCACATCTCTCACTTCATAAGCATTACTCACAGTCAGGATTCCTCTGAATGCCAGCTACTAGCAGCTAAACGTTAAACTCCAGAAGAAAATTTGATAAGGGTCACTTTTTTGGCCCTCATTATGCAGATATTCATTTCTTCATAAAGATGACCAAAGACCAAAACCAGCAGATGATACTATAGTACCTATCTTCAGGCCCTGCTTAGAGCATTCTATCTGGGTTCAGGAGATACTTCCCAAGTGGATTTACTTCTGCCTGCAGTCTAGGAGCCCCTTCTATTTCATGTTAAAGTAACTGACATCTAAGTCTCCCAGGCAAGGTGAAGAACTGCAGAACACAAAGCTTTATTCCATAAGTGAACATCAACTTCCAATTGGCTTCAGATTTTGGAAGGGAATGTCGTCAGTGGCAAGACTTTAAACCTTCTCTCCTTACTCTCTACATACCTGTTACACAACTACTTGGCCACATCTTTAGACTAAAACATTTCTGCATTTTGACAGATCTGTGCCCCTTCCACACTGAAGTGTGTGTGTGTGAATATATGTGTCCTCCCATGTACACAAGGAGATCCAAATCATCCGGAGAATGAAAGGCCACTGGGCCCTGCTTTCACCCCAGGTCACAGGAACGACCAGGCATGGACCCAGAACTTCACAGACCTGTTACTGAGTAAGTGTTTCCTGCAGGCTGCAGACCCCTACAGTGCATTTTCCATGGAAAGAGGTTACCTTCACAAGAGCCCACATACCATATTACACCACTGCCTTTGAGTCAGAGGCTAACACCCACTTCTACCTCCTAAACATTCCTTTCACACTTCACCCAAAGCCAGGGATAAACACTGCTAGTCTAGGAGGCAGAGGTGGGCGGCTCTGCTCTTGGGAGCCTTGGGGTGGGGCTTCCACCTCCAACATTAATTTAACTCTGGGAAGTCACTTATGGTCAACAATGAGCCATTTTCTCAGTCATCTCTTCCTGGTATGTAATAATTACAAGGAAAACCAAGAAGAGAGGCAGAAATCAGATGCCACGGTCTTCTTGATGCCAGCTAAGTCCTTAATGATGGTGTGAGAACACAGAAAAAGTATGTCTGCCAAGAACGGGGAGACTTCTATCACTTGGAGGCCACACACTGGCCTCCAAGTACCCCAGTTACACACTCGTGCTAATAAACCCACATGGTGATGGGCAGCGTGTGGACAGGCGGGCACAGCACGACTCCCTGGCTCCACCACTCAGCCAGCTTGGGGTGTGGGCTCAAAGGCCTGGCAGATCTCGGCTTAGTGTAAATGAGGTGAAAGAAAAGAGTGTCGGGACAGAACAGAGAAATTTCATACAAAATCACATCAATGCTACTGCCTACCCTTGGTTTGCAAAGGTATAGCTTGCAATGTCTTTGATGGGCCAGCATTAAGAAAACACTTCTAGTAATGGGGACAAAAAGAAAGGGAAAAAAGAGGGGATGGGTGCCAAGATTTATTGAGAAATATTTTGTGAATATAATTCTAGGCTGTTACTGTCTGTCTGTAAGCCTGTTTCCCCTATCAGATGGTGAAGTCAGAGAGCAAGTTTATTAGACATCCTGAGTCTCAGACTCCTGGGACTAAATTTCACTTACCTCATACAATTATCAAAGGACCTAAGCAGTATGTAGTAGGTCTGGCACACAGTAAGCCCTGGACAACTGTTAGCTGCTATTACTGTTCTTAAAATTATTATCATTGCATCCCATTGCCCTCGATACAGAGCCTAGCATAGGGCAGTCACCAGAAACCCAGTGAATTTTTTCTGTCATGACTAACATTTACTGAGCACTTCTGACATCCCAGTCATTATGGTATCCACTGCTACATGCATCCTCTCATTTTGATCTTTATAAAATAGGTATTGCTGTCCATCTATTTAGACAAAGAAAACAAGGCTAAGGAAGTAACTTGTAAAACATGAGAATAGATAAACCAGAGAAAAGAGGAACATAAAGGCATCAAGTACGGGCATTCTGATTCCAGGTCCTTGCAGCTCACTGCTTGCCTGTATATGCTGGTGAACCTGGGGAGGGAAGGCAGCCTCCTTCAGTCCTCTGCTCCAGGGTTCCCAACACTTACCAGTGGCCCAGTCTAAGCCACCATCACGCTCATGATCAACATCCTAAAGCTACAGCACCAGAACATTTTGGAGGCTCAAGTGATCTTGGAGCAAGCATGAGTATTAGAAACCTGCTTCTGAGTGGTTTCCTTGGACGGTAACATAAACTCAGTGTTGCTCTTTTCACAGGCGAATGTCTTGTCCAGAGAGCACTCAGCTAACCATACAGAGGGTCTATGCCATCTGCCAGGTGCTGCTTTCCATCACCTTGCTTAACCCACACAAACAGAGGCAGGCAATCCTCGCCCTTTCTTAGCAAGGAAGCACAGCTTCTTTCTCAAAGAGCCAAGTGTGCCTTGAAATGCCAAAGGAAATGACCTTCTTCTATGTGCCACTGAAGTGACCAATTATTTAAGGACATCTGAGCAGGACTGCCAGAGCTTCTCCCCAGCTCTGTGTGGAAACGGGAACCAAGGATTTTAAGAGGGGTATCTAAGGCATGAGACAACCTCAGAGGCTGGTCCTCTGTTGTCAATGATCTGGCCAAATCTGTGCACAGACTGACCCAGATCTGGCACCCAGTTCTCACCTGGCCATCTCACCTGTACAACTCCCCATCACTGACCTTATGTCATGTTATTTGTTCTCTTGAATTTCTATTTAAATGTAATATTACTTAATATTTCATACATCTGTGTCTTCCCCCACCTAATTATTAGCATGCAAGTTTTCAAAGGATAGGAAATAATGACTCCTACAGAATTGGCACCCAATAAATTTTTGCCAACTTATTTCATCCCCAAGCAGGAAAGCAATTTATACCATATTTGACTGATGGGTTTTAAATAACAGATTTAACATTGTTTCATTAAGGAAGAGATATCCAGCATTTAAATTTGTTCTGGATGCTACAGGCAGACTGTGGAATCATTAAGGTGACAACATAATAACAACTCTGTGACCCTGACCTTCTGCTCAGGTATCTTAGATCATTAAATGCAGCTGGAAACTGCAGTGATACTATTTGGGTTTGGGGAAATAATGCCATTAGTGGTATCTGGGGCAGCTAATCAA